GTTTAAACAGTTATGATATGGTTCAAATGGTTATACCATTTTTCGTATTTTATAATACCTTTATTTTTTAGAGAGTAGTTCGACACCATCAATTTTCTAGAACATTTTCTTATTATAATAGTCAAAGAAATTATTAATTATATAATAGTATGAAATATTTTAAAAAGGTCGTTTCTTTTTTGTCCTTTTGATAATGAATTTATTTACTGCAATAAATGAACGATAAGAAAAAGTTAGTGTGCCAAGTTAATCGAGTATTTTGGCTCACATAATGTACTTGTATATGCAACAGGGTACCCAAATCCAATTTTTAGAAATCAGAGTTGATGAGATTTTGTTTTTGAATCAGGAGAAAAACCAGAGAGTTATGCAGTTTTTTCTTTGACAAGCAAAACAAAAAATCTAAAAACATTTTCAAAAAAATATTTTTGATGAAACAGCATTATCATTTGTTACAGACTGCAGTACGGATTGAGGAAGAAGATTTTGGTCCGATGTGTTTGGAAGTTCACTAATCTCATCTTTTTGTGATGAGAACATTCGATAAGCACAGCGGGCTCTTTCGATGTACAATTATTTAGCCTCTTAATCCAGAAATTCTGTTTCTGAAACTGATAATCCCAGTTTTGGAAAAAACAAGCGGCGGCAACGCTGCGTCCATTAAGCGCTGTGACAGTTCTCTTTTTGTTCTTCCCTTTTTATTGGTCTAAAATGTCGCTAAAATCGCTGTAGGTAAACAATTGAAAACCAGGAGGAAATCTTAAAAATCAGTTCCAATGAAATTAGGAAAAAAGTCTAGAAATCAGGAGTCTTCTGGTCAAATCATAAGGTTTGGCAACCCTGATAGGCAGTCATACGACAGTTACCTTTAAAAATAGATTGCCTCAGAGATAGCATCAACAACTTTTATAATGGTGAAGTTGCTTTCTGTTGACTGTTGTAGTAGATCTTACCATTGTATGCTGTAGTTAATCAACATGTTTTATAGCATTTATCTGAAACTTATTTTCTTTTGTTCAGAAAACATGCGTATGCTATGGTTTAATAGCAGATGGAAAAAGGTGTGATTCTCTTGTACACCTCTTCGATTTTTAAGGAAAGATAGGCATGTAGTAGATGACGATGTTAGATTTGAAAAAAGATTAGCTGAAATTTCATTTTGTGTTTTTCCTTTTTTATGATTTATAGGAATTGTTAAAATATTCACTAGTTTGGTAACCTTCAATGAAATTTGTTTCTCTGAAAAATACAAAGATGCACGAAATAAGCACATGTTTCTTATCTATCACAATACTACTAAGTTATTTATTAACTTTAGAATTGTTACCATGTCTGGAAGTATAATTCGAGAAAAACCAGTACATTTAGCTCCGATGCGCCAAAATAGTGTTCCAAGTAACTATTTAATCTCTATTTTAGTATTTTTTTATTTGAGCAATGGAATTTTTTCTCTTTAGATGGCAATTCTCCACTTAAACTATTTACCCAAGCAAAAACGACAATCACGGATATTTTCAAGCATATCAGTACTTACGTAAATGACTCTAATATATTTTTAGCAGGTATAATTGAGTTCATTAGTTGGTTGTATGAGAATATTTAAAATTTTTTGTACTCTTTTTGTATATAGATGTAACTAAATCAGATAAAAAACTTCTGACAGTGGATAAACACGATGATCTTCAACAGTTAAAAGAAAAAGTAACCAGAATATTAACTATTATTTCGCGAGATCATATGAAAGTTGTCTTCTTTGGAAGGTGAATATTTTTTTCTGTTAGAAATTCGACTGATTTGAATTTATATTTTGTTTCTACAGAACAAGCAATGGAAAAAGCACAGTTATGAATGCTATGTTACGTGAAAGAATATTGCCTGCTGGTATGGGGCACACAACAAACTGTTTCTTACAGGTAAAAACAAAAACCATGTGTGTGTGTATTTGATTAATCGAATCATTTTCTATTTTTTGTTTTTCAGATTGAAGGAACTGACAAACTAGATGCTTATGTTTTGGTACCGCCTTCAGATGAGCCAAAAAGTATTGTTGTAGGTGACTTTGTTTTTATCCTTTAATTATTTAATTAAATATAATGCTTTTTTGTTATATTCAGAGTCTTAAAGATCTTGGTAGCGCATTATCACGTGAAAAACTCAATTCCGATTCCTTAGTTAAAATATTATATCCAAAAGAAAAATGTCGACTATTACGAGACGATGTCATTCTAGTTGATAGGTAACATTTTAATTGATACATTCAATATATTCTTGTTTTATTGGCTATTCTCATTGTTTTAAGTCCGGGAATTGATGTCAGTGCTAACCTTGATCAGTGGATTGAAGATCATTGTTTGGACGCTGATGTATTTGTGCTTGTCGTATCGGCTGAAGCAACCATTACCGTAGCAGTAAGTAAAGATATTTCCTTTCTCACAGATAGGATAATATCAAATCCTTTCTTTTTTCTAAAGGAAAAGAAATTTTTGCATAATGTTGCACAACGTTTATCAAATCCAAATATATTTATTTTAATGAATCGTTGGGATGCAATAGTAAATGAAGAGGAAAATGTCGATAAGGTTTGTAGCTGATGAAGAAAAGGAAATACATATATATATATATATATTTGAACAATAAAATTTTTATTAAGGTTCGTCAACAACATCTTGAGCGTGGAATGGAATTCTTATGTGATGAATTGCACTTATACGATAGAAAAGTAGTGGCTGATTATCGAGTGTTCTTTGTCTCAGCTCGTGAAGCAGTACTTCATCGTGCTCCAGATCCTAGTAGTTCACCCAGAACCGGTTTTGCAGAGGGTAAGATTAATTTATTCACGAAAATACACGTTTCTATTTAACAATCTTATTTTTATTTAGGATACAAAGAGCGTTTAACGGAATTTACTAAATTTGAACAAGAATTTGAGAAATGTATATCAAAAGCAGCAGTGAGAACAAAATTTGAACAACATACAAATCGTGGAAAAGAAATTATTAATTTATTACGAGATACAATGGTAAATATCACGGATAAATCGCACTCCTTAAAACAACAAACTGTTCAAAAACGTACGGAAGAAAGTGAAAAACATGATTTTATCGAGAAAGAATTAAAGTCAATGATGGAAACAACAAAAGATAGAATAAGACATGTATCAGAAGATGTTTATAAAAGAGTGGCACAAACATTAAATGACGAAATCAAACGGTATAAATGGCTAATAAATTTGATCTTTCATCTGTTTCTTTTGTACATCTTTTCAGAAGTGTAGCTTTGTAAATTAGATCTTATTGAGTTAAAATTATTTTACCATTTAAGTTTTTCTAAGATAGCTAAATAGTGTACGATAGTCAATTACAAGTTCTTAATGTATTTAATGAGAGAGACCAGTTGGCATAGATTCCTTAAATATATTTTTAACATTTTCATTTTTGTTCATTTTAGTCTCTATACACTGATTGAAGAATTTGATCGTCCATTTTCAAGTGATCCCGAACAAATTCCATTGTATAAACGTGATTTACATAAATGGGTTGAAGAACGACTTGGCTCTAATTTACAATCACGTCTCCATTCAGCTTTATATTCATCATTGGATAGTGTACATAAAGACATAAAAGAACGTGTAAAATCTGTTGTTAATAATGAACGAAAATCAATGGTTGATGCCATTACACCACGTTCTGATTTTGCCGTATCCTATCGTTTAGATTGTCTGAATTTATGTTCTGATTTTAAAGAAGATATTAAATTTAAATTTTCACTTGGTCTCACATCAATCTGGCAACGTTTTGTTCAAAGTCAACATCAACAGAGTGCATTAACAATGAATAAAGATAATAGTCTTAATGTCAGAAATGATTCATTAATGCCAACCTCAAATTTACTAAATTCCACAAATGATTTATTAACAACAGCGAATAGTATCACATCATTAACGTCAAAATCCAGTCTGTTATTGATAGGTGGTTGTGCATTGATATGGCGTGGCATTGGTTGGAAAGTATTGGGTGTTGTTGGGTGTTTATATGGTTCATTGTATGCATATGAACGTTTAATGTGGACAAAAAAAGCTCAGGAGCGAAAATTTAAACGCCAATATGCTGATTATGCTAGTTCAAGAATGAAATTAATTGTTGATATGACAAGTGGTAATGCAAGTGCACAAGTACAACAAGAATTGAGTATGTATTTTGCCCAAACAGTACGTTATATTGACATGGAAAAAGATGATATTTGTGACAATTTAAAACAATTAAAACAAGAAATTGATCAATTGTTATTATATAATGATAGAGCGAAAGGATTGAAAAAACAAGCTGATTGGATTGATCAACAACTGAGTCTATTTTCAAAACAGTATCTGTCAGAACCAATGACAACCTCGATAAACAGTAATGGATAAATCTGATATCTTTTCACATGCAGATGTATTTTTTTCTTTACCGCATTATTTACGTGTAAAACTTCTTCTGTATCAATATTTTTTTGTTCTTAAAGATGCCGTTATGAGTGAGGATCTCGAAACTTTCTCCCATATTTTTGCGTGTACTTGTTCATTTGACAAGTTGCTCACACATATGAAGAATGGCAGTGGTAATGTGTGATCGAGCAACTTATCAAGTGACCATCTGTCCATGTACATAAATACCCGCTAGCAAGTGTCGTAAATCCTCTTTATATTAATATTCAAGCGTGTTTCGATACGCACAGAATAAGTTTTCTAGTCGTTATTAAAAAACAAAGTTCAGAAAAAAAGTATTTGTACTTTTTTGATAACGTAACTTATTATTAGATTTCACTCTTCGTTTATGGTTGATGGTTTGAGTATGTATTTTGAGTATGTATTTTTTCTTTTTCAAATCTATTTCAATTTGTTTATTTTAACATTTTTATTATCGGCTATTTTTCTTGGATAAAAACAGTAAACGATAGACCCAAAATTAAAAGAAATTTCTTTTAGTATGCGCTTCAGAACGACGAATGCTTGCATTTTCTCTAATGCCAGAGAGAATCTGAATTTCTTGACCTACACACTGAACTAGCTTAACCCTTTCTTGCCTCTAGTTAAACCTGAAGGTCTTGAACTAAAATATTATAGGGGTTATAAGTTATCGAGCATGCTGATGCCGAATATGACCATGGAGGCTTCCCATAGATCTTCGAAGATCCAGCCTTCTGGAAAACCAGTTTTTCAGAAACTCTAAAAAATAACCAAAACCTTTCTTAACAAGACGTGATTTTAGAGTGCAAATTTCTGATTAAA